AAATATACAACAGTAGTTTCTGAGCTAGCATTTTCCAGCATGCTTCTTTTCTCTTCACTCTGTCTTTGCTGGCTGGCCATGAAGCCAAGAACAAACTAATCTGCTACTGTGACATGCATCCATTTAGCACCTAGTGGCCTCAAGGACTGGGGAGCAATGAGCCACATTGCTTCACTCCCCTGTGAGCCTCTCCTTGGGTAAAATCATTGCTAACCCATTTTGAAATGTCTGTTGGAACTTTGCACTGTCCTCTAAGAAATCCTGCCACCTCAGTAACAGGCTAGATGCTGTATTTTTGTGTTGAAGAAAACTAACCCCTCCCCAAAAAAAGTAGGCAGGCTGATAACAGGGAAAAACCTAGAAGCTTCTTACTGGGGAAAAAAAAAAGCTGTAAATAAGTAAGGCTACTGAACAGTTCTAGAGTGCTAGCTAGCCTTAGGAGCTGTTGTCTATCAGATGCACAGGCTCTCTCTTGGCTTTGAGTTGTCTTTCCAAGGCCCACCCCTTTTCTCCAATAGGGTGTATATGCTCCCTTTATGCTGTCTTATTGCCCTGTCTCTGTCTGATGTACATCTTATTATATGTTTAATTTTAGGGCCAAATCCCATTTTTAAATGCTGTAACATATCCAGTTGATCGGCTTGTTATCACTTCCAGTATCCAACTCCTTTCCTCTAGATCTCATGTTCCTTTGACTGAAATAACTAATGCAGCATAGAAGCCTGTGAGTTGTTTTAGAACCACTTTATTTGTATGAGATAGGAATGGAAAACCCTATCAGAGGTCAGAGGTGAATGGGTAAACAATGTATATAACCTCATGCTAAGGATTATTACTCAGCAGGGAAAGAGAACAGATCACTGACACAGGCAACAGCTCAGATGGACCTTAAGGGCACTATGCTAAGTGAAACAAAAGCTGATCTCAAAAGGCTACATGCCACACAAATTCACTTCTATAGTATTCTTGAAGCAACAAAGTCATAGAGATAGAGGAGATGAGTGTTTGCCAGAGAATAGGCGTGGGTGGGAGGGAGTTGCTGTCAAAAGGGTTGAGGAGGAGTCTTAGAGGATTTATTAGTTCTTTACCTTGATTATGGGGCGGATGCCTGAATCTCCATGTGTGATGAAATGTCAGAACTATATGAACATCCTGGATCAATGTCAGGTTGCCGGTTTGGTGTCATGTACCCGTAGCTATTGAGAAGGAGGTCTATTTGGAACAGAAGAGCTCTCAGCTCTTTGCACAAGCTCTTGATATCTTGTAGACTTTTCTTTTCCCTTCACCCAAGTCCTGGGGACTACTACCTTCTTTGGACCATCTGTGGATTGTTCCCAGTCTCTTCCCACATAATTAAAACCAAAACAACCTCAAAGCATTGTTGCCTTTTATAACACTTGCACACGTTATATACATAAAAGATAAGTTGCTTCTACTAACGAAAAATGCAAAACTTTGTTCTCTTGTCTGGTACACTCTTGCAATCCTCTGTTATGTCCTCATACTGATGCTTTTAAAAACCCCATAGACTGATGATAGTTTTAGATGTCTGAAACATACCCCCCCCCCAGTACTCTCTAGGACTCAGTGGCTCTGAGTGTACTCCATACATTGAGTATCCCTAGGACCTTATTCATCACTAGCTCAGGTACATGGTGTGGCTGAGTGCTTCTTGGTTATCCTTGTATATCCCATGCTTGTTATTTCTCCACCTGCCGGTGGCTGAAATGAACCCTTTTGTAGCAGACACTTCTATCACTGAAGGAGAGTCAAGACTATGTTTTCCCTTCATTCATCATTCTCAGGTTTTGTAGAGTCAGTGCCAAAGAGTCAGCCATCAGACTGGACTGCAAAGATAATAGCCCTGAGGATCAGACCTGAGCAGGAATAGTTTTTCAGGTTTGTTCTCTCACAGAGGTTGAAAACAGTGTGACTTGAAGTTCTCTAAGACATGATTTATTTGCTTAAATGGCATAAAAATAATACAAAAATGCTTACATTCCCTGAGACCTTGTGACTAACTCAGGGAACCTAACCTGGAAAGACCAGCTGTGATCAGCAAAGCCTGTGAAATGTACTCTTTTCCAAATCATGGGGATGCATTGTTTCAGGCACAGAGACAGCAGTTAGCGATGAATTCACTGCCTATGAGATGGGAAGGCATGGGAGATCTCAGCTCCCTACTCTCGGCTACAACCTGCAGGGTCTTTTGACCCATTATTAGATTTAATGCTTATCACAGTCTAGTGAGGTAGCTTTTATTGTTCCCTTTGTGCAGATGAGAAAATGGAAATCAAAAGATGTTATGTAAGTTAGCATTCATGATGGTCTTTTACTTTAGGTTAATAGTCTGTCACCTAATTAGCACTCTTGATGCACCGTGAGGTGACACTATTACAGGAGAGGAGATAGCTAGTGTGCTAGTGACTGTGCTTTTATCAAAGCTGCTGGTGGCCCTGCGGGTGGCTGGAGAGGTGCTCACCTTTCCTAGGATAAAGCTTAGCTCTCTCTCTCTCTCTCTCTCTCTCTCTCTCTCTCTCTCTCTCTCTCTCTCTGTGTGTGTGTGTGTGTGTGTGTGTGTGTGTGTGTGTGTGTGTATTGACTATCATTATCTGTGAAGAAAGAATCACCTATTTCATGTAAAATACTCAGGCTTTTTTTTCTTTTCTTTTTTTGATATCACTAAAATTGCCTTTTAAAGGTATCATTGTTCAGGGCTGGGGATTCAACCAGTGGTTAAGAGCTCTTGCAGCACATCTGAGTTCGGTTTCCAGCAACCACACTGGGTGGTGCATTACCTGTCACTCCAGCTCCAGGGCATTCAATGTCCTCCCTCTTCTGGCCTCCATGAACACTCTCACACAAGTGGCAGAAATAATAAAAACCGGTCTTAAAAACATCATGTCTTGTGGGTTATGATTCATATTTTAAAATATCTTATCTGTCTTAGTTGTTACTACTTTCTCTGAGATGCTGAACGTCTTAAAGAATGACTGTTGAGGCTAAGGCACATCCCTAATTAGGTAATGAGATTTAAAACTCAAATCATCTTTGCCATTGCCTAAGAAGTGAGTGGTAACCAGGGACACTCAGGGAACAGTTCACTGTTAGTAGTACCAGCAATCCATACTTTAGTCATTTGTCCCAATTAAATACAACCAGCAATTCAAACTCAGGTTGGAAACACAGAGTAACATAGCGGCTGACCTTCTATGGAGTGATACTATAAAAGGAATCCTGGATTCCTGGCAGCTTCACTGTGAGAAGCAGTAAGATAAAGCCTTGGAAATAACCTCAGGTAAACGCTGCCAAGGTCTGTCTTAGTTCCACCATTCACCCAGCCTTTGCTCCTTGCCCCTCTTGCCACCCCAGATGGCTGGCATGCTTCTGTTCCCAGGCTCCCTGGTCTGGGTGTTGGGATGCTTTTCATCAGATGAGCCATAGCAATCTGCTCTATAGTAAAGGAACTGTCATGGTGTAAGGAGCCAGAGTGGGTGACAGTAGAGTGGGAGTCAGGGAGCACTTCCTGGTGTATGTGCAAGATGCCTATCCTTGGGCAAAAGGTAGAAGTACTGTGTCCCACTGTGGGTTCATGATAAGTGGTTTTCTGCTTGTCCTTCTTTCTTTGGGGTTTCATAGTTCACTGTGTAACATGCTGTTAGATATACAGATCATCTGACTTCAGTTCCCTTTAAAGAATCTATACTGGTTTCCACTCAGGGTGAAGGAGCAGATGAGGACCATGGGCAGGATGTTCTTTGCCTTCCCCTGTCCTAGGTCAGGGAAGCAACTCTGCTGAATAGTCCATGTGTTTCTGTAGTGTGTGGTGGGCAGACAGGTTTGATGTGACCTTTGCAAGGTTTCTATGTGCAGACATTAGTCTCTGGCAAAAATGACAAGGACATGTGCCATTTCTAGCCATTGGGTGGATGTTCAGCAGTAAATAAGGGAATATGGAAAGTGCTTATTTCTGGAAAAGTGAAATCCAAAGATGAGATGGAGCTCAGAACCTTTGGTACTAGGCAGCCCAGGCCACTGGGAAGCTTGTGGGTAGAGCCAGACACTGTGCTCCAATGTCAGGTCTTCAACTTATTAAAGCTCAGCTTGCTTTCTAATTCAGACCTGTTTTTAGTGGCTACTTAAAATACCCTGTCTTGAAAAGGCTGTAGCACAGATGCCAAGCTTAATAGGCAGAAAGAATCATAATAGATTCATGATGTTTGCAAGGGATTGAAGGTGGGGTGACATCATATGTGCAGTATCTGATGGCCTTGGTCCCCTCAGATCCTACCCATCTATAATACTAGATGTGTGTTATTTGTATGTAGCCCAAGGGGAAGTCACAACAACCCTATTTAAAATAGTCAAATGATGCCATGGCTTGAACTTTTCAGAAACAACAAAACCATCCTATGTGTAGCATAGACTATTATTGAAAAGTTTTTAAATCTTTATAGTACATTATGTCCTTTAGATGGTTGATTTGCATATTTGCCTTAAATTATGGTGGCTTTGAAAATTACTGTTTAAGTGTAGTCACCACAAATGACTCTGAGCATTCAGATGCCTAGCTTTCATTTGCCTTGACTTAAAGAGCCAGTGTCAAGAACTGCATTTCTCTGATCATGGAGTCATGAACTCAGTGAATGAAAGCAGGAGGCAGGACAATACTCTCCATTTTCTTCCCTGACAGGGCTTTTGAATTCATCAGTCAGAGCCTGGTCTTCTGGCAAGACTATTTTGATAAAATGGGGTTGGTTGTCTCTGTTGGGTTTTATGTCAATATAGTACTTTCCATCTTAACCCTCAGTATGGAATTTTAAAGCAAAGGTCTGGCCTACAGCTTGGCAGGCTTGGAGGGTCTCTGAGATGTGGGCTGCTGCTGGCTGGCTACTGGAGCTGCCTCATGTATAAAAGTCTAAACCCTTAGGATATAATACTTCTAAGTGACCTTAGTGAATAATTCCCTGTCCTCCCCTCCCCCTTCTTTCTCGTTCCAGAAACAGAGCTGTCAGTCACTGCTGAGTTAGCGCCTACCTCATCCTGGAACATTTCAAGTGAAATCGACAAAGGTAGATGGAGAGGAAAACACAGGGGCCAGGGGAGGAAGGAGGAGAGAAAGCTCGTCTACAAGCCTGGTCTGCTCTTCCTTGAAATGAACCTTTGTCCACATCATTAGGAGGAGGCAACAGCTGAAATAAACTAACCCCCCCACTCACATTGGGATGACTTAACATTTGATTATTTGGAATTATTTCTGAGGAAGTTTTTTTTTTCTTCCTTTCCTTTTTCTCTTCGTCCTCTAAAATGTTCCACATGGTTAAAACGCTTCAAGATGTGAGGCAGGGCCATTCCTGACCTTCCTGCCTCTGCATCCAGTACATCTTGTTTAGGGGATTCGATTCAGCCTAAGCCAGGACTGATCAGAGCTGTTGGCTGGGTGACCTTTCTGGACAGGCATTTGGTGGGCTTGCGTGGTTCAGGACCCAGCATTCAGAATGCTTGTAATTGCCTGTGTGTGCAGACAGCCGCTTCCTATGTGCACATGGGAGCATGTTCCCACCATGGAGCTGTGGCTTTGCATTAATTGAGGCCTGCCATGTGCTGTGGCTAGTCTAAGGAGATCCTGTGGCCTGGCCACAACAAAGCCCAGGTGTTCTGGCTCGGTCTGCCTTCAGCCTTGTTTCTTTTTAGCCCCCTTGTCTGGCCTCTGTCTCTAACTGGATTTCTGTTTCTTCTAGTATTTCCAGATTTTCAATCTGGCTTGTCCTTCTGTTTTATTTGGTTTTTGTTTTTGTTTTTTGTTTGCTTGTTCTCTTTGCTAATACCCACCCCCCACCTTCTGCAAGGAGCTAATCTTTCTCTTTCAAGACTGAATACAAGCTCTATGCCATCCACGGGCTTCTTCAGTCCTTTGCAGGAAGTAACCTTACTTTTCTCGTAATTTCCATTGCTTCATTCATTCATTCATTCATCCACCCATCCATCCATTCATTCACCCGATGATACACTGCTTAAATTATTATTAATTTCTTCCCTGGATGCTATTTGTAGAATTGGGGTCCAGATATGGATTTGTGTGTGTGTGTGTGTGTGTGTGTGTGTGTGTGTGTGTGTATTCTTCTCTTAACTAACGTGGTACTTTAAACACCCTTCTTGCCTTAAGGCTAGGAGAGATTTATAGAGTTCTGGGATGGTGATAGGAGTTTGCAAAAGGAGTTTGTGTCCTTTTATTATGACCAAGATAAAATATCTGAAAGGAAGGTGTGGGGGCTTTATACAGGCTCACAGTTCAGGAGGTACAGTCCATCATGGGGGGAGGGGGTCATGGCAGAGTCATGGTGGTTCATAGCTTCAGTAGCAGGATTTTGAAGCTGTTTGCCAACCTGGGGACAGAGAAGTCTGCCTGGAACTTGGACTTGGCAATAACCCTCAGAGATCCACTACTTCTACCTATATCCTGCCTCCTGAAGGCTCCAAAACGTCCCCAAACAGTGCCAGGAGCCAGGGACCAGGTATGCAAACACATGAACCTGTTTAAACCTGAACAACTCAAAAGCCACCTCCAAAGTTTTTGTTTGTGATCAGCTCTCCTGTCACTGAAATCCTCACTGGGAATGTGTTTCCTGTCTGAGGAGAAATTACTTCGTAGAAGAGGACAGTAGAGGTCACAGTTTTGCTGGGGCAGAGGAGAGGGACTTTATTAGGCTTTTCAAAATGTCAGTAGGAGAGGGAGAGAAAAAGACAGAGACAGAGAGACCTCAATATTTTCTAGCATTGAATTGAACCTAGATTTTTAAAATGGTATTATCTTCATTCCTCTTCATATCAGAGAAGACCTAGGAGGCTATAGATTTCTAATGCACGTTTATGAAATGCTTTTAAGGAGGAGAGGAGATAAGGAACACCAGACATTCGCTTATTGCCTGTTCTGTGAGCTGCTCTGGTAGATGCTTTTGCTATGTGAACTTACTGTGCGAGCTCCTTGTGGCACCAAAAGAGTCGTCACATCAAGACTCCCGTTCTCCATACCAAGAAGCCTGCATGGGTGAGAGAGGCCACAGGGCTGCTGGGGGAGAACTCAGCAGCCTGCAGGGCTTGCACCCCCCCCCCCAGCACTGTTTGTAACAACAGTATTGCCTTTTGAGAAGTAAGTGAGTCTCCAGTTCCCTACTCCCTTGGTACCATTTCCAGTGATTTCTAGCCAAGACAAGGCACATTTTGACTGGTAATCACAAATCCCAGAGAACAGGCTTCTTGGCTTCCCCCGGCTTTCTCATTGCCTGCAGGTTCCACGGGCAGATTCAAGCCTGTTTCTTTCTGAGGTTGTGAGGGATCCTCCTGGTGGATCCGCTTTGGGAGTAGCCTCTGGGTTTAGCCTTAACCTCCATCTGGAAAGCTGAAGGCCAGGACTGTGTTTATAGGGATCATCGACAACCATGGGCTTGTGGTCTTGGTCAACCTAAATGAAGACCTGTGGGGGCTTTTAGGTGCAGAGGCCGCTTGGTTCAAGGCATGGGAAGAGGGACAGACACCCCGATGCTGCCTTAGCTCCTCTCTTCCTCTCTACCTTGGTTGTGCTACTGTAGTGCCAAGCTTTTTACTGTCATGTGTCGTACTGTGCTGTTTCCTCTGGTGAGAATCTGCCCCAGCCCAGCCTTTTGCTGTCAATAAAGGACAGTGTTCACATGTGTTCCTTGTCTCTTGCTAGGCAATGCCTTTATCCATGTATATTCTTCCCCCTTCAGTCCCTCATCTCTCAGGAGAGAGATGTATGTTGAATATCTCCAAGTAAAGTGCTCGGGATTCTCCCTTCTAGGGACAGAGAGCCAACTAGGAAACTCAGTGTGCAGGCAGCTTCGGGAAGACTCAGAGTTCCACACTGCGAGCCTCCAGAGCAGGAATCACACCTCACTTTCATGTCCTGCCAGCTCAGTGGTGTGAACGACTTAGTGGATGAGTTAAATCAGAATGTAGAAACAAAAGGTATTTGTGTAGCCCCCTAGAAACTGGAAGAAGCAAGGAATGGGTTCTACCTCACACCCCAGAGGAAGCTCCATCCTGCTAGCCTTTGAACATCTAAGTCCAGAACCAGGATAATTATATTTGCATTGTTTTGAGCCCCCAAGCTTAGGATAATTTGTCACCACAATACCAGGAGAATAATAAACAGTCTTAGGCAAGATGCCCAAAGTCACAAGAGAGTGAACCTGAAGTTCAAATCCAAATCTATTAACAATGGATTATTTTTCCTCAAATCAAATAAAAAAATTAAAACAAAAGTTCCTTAGATTTGATTAACGAATAGAGATTTACTGAGTGAATATGGCAGGTATGATCTGGGCTGGAGACTGAAAATAAAGAAGCAACAATGAACAAGATAAAACCACTTTTACCTTTGGATAGTGTTAATGATTTCAGTGTGAACTATCCCATAGGCTCTTGTGTTCCCAGCTGAAGGTACAATTTTGGAAGGTTGTCTAACCTTTAAAAGGTTGAGCCAAACTGGAGGAATAGACCCCTGGTAGCCTTCCAGGTGTTATAGCTTTTCTAGTTTCTGGCTCAGTTTTCTGTTTCCTGATTGACACCTTGTCTCCACACAGTCTCCATGGAGCCACCTCCTGCCCTGACTTTTCTTCCCATCTTTCCAAGATGGCTCAAACCTTGAGCCTAGATAAATTCCTCCTCTCCTAAGTAAGTGCTTCATTCTGATATCATAGAGAGGAGGAAAGTAATTAATACAGATCTTCTTTAGTTCAGGGGAAGAGACTTTAAACAATTGCTTTCACCTTCATAGATTTACTCCAAATCATTTCAGTCCAACAGTGGTAGGTGTAACAAAGGGAGAGAATAAACAAACAAACAAACAATTCTTGTATGTTCCTTCATAGGCCCAACTAAAAGCCACCAGAGGTAGGGCCAGCTGTGTATCCTTTCTGACTTTTTCTTGGGAGTTCGCATGCTTGAAACTGTACCTCAGCCCTCTGGAGCTTGTGGAAGTTGGTCTACCATCTCTGAGGACTGGGACCCACCAAAGAAGGCCACAATACCTCCACATATGCAAGTTCTGCAACCCATTACAGACATCATCAAGAGGCTGGGCTGTGGGAGGATTTCTTCAGACAAGGTTGAAAAATTTGGCATTCCTGCGCCAGGCCAGATTTCCTGGAGGGCTGTGAGAAACTCCCTAATTACCCTTCATTCTGGGCAATGTTGCTTCAGAACAGCTCTTGCCAAGAGCATGCTTAGATATCACTTCGCCTGGTTGGATTGCACATGACACTCATGTGCTCAGAAAAACTATCCATAGCTCTGTTGGCTTCGCAGAGTAGGAAGTTCAGGCCCCCACCCGTCTCGGGGATGCCTGGCTCTGCTTCCAGGTGTCAAAAGGAAAGCTGAATTACTTCTCACCTTTTTTGTCTTTGGCTTTTTGTTTTGTTTTGTTTTGCAAATGAGTCCATTTTTATGTGCCCTTGGTTATACCTGACCATCTTAAGCCTCTGGAATATGCTTGAGTAGAGTTCAGACTGGCCTGTAAGGATGTCTTCTCTGTGACCTTTGCTTATCTTCTGGACTTGGAAGGAGGGATTCTTCTAAAGTACCTTTTCCAGTACTTTAACCTTAACATTGCTCCCAAAAGCAAGAGTAATAAGCTACCTATTTTACAATTTTAAATAGTTCAGATCTTGTTTGTAAAGACCAAATTTGGTATCTTCTTGTTTCTCTGATCTTTTAAAAAGTCAATATTCCTGTTTTTCCCCTTAAGTCATCTCACATGCTTTTGTTGTTTTCTTGCATGTCCTTTCCTATGTCCATCTAATAGCCACTGGAGGTAGTGGCAGCCATTTATCCTCTCTAACCTGTTTTCCTATGGTAGTAAGCACTGGATAACAAAATTAATGATGCAGAATTCACTTAGTCCAACTTCATAAGTTCCCTATCATAGTCTACCACAGTCCCAACAATGTTTTAAAGTTCTAAGTCTCTTCTGGGATTCGTGCAATCTCTTAACTGTAATTATCTATAAATATTAAAATCAAAATTCAGATCACACACTTCCAATATATAATGG